TTGAAGGCAAGCTATAACTTTCTTTTTGTAGCTGCTTGTGGGGTCTCGCTTTAAGGCTTCGTAGGTATTGTTGTCACTGAGGAGAGTAGTGATCTTTGTATGGTAATCTGTAGTGTTTAGGACCACGGTGCATCTTCCCTTATCGATAAGGGAAGATGCACCGTGGTCTTACTTATTTAGTAATTAAGTTACTTTTCAGACACAGTAATTAGATATTAGATAGTATTTTAAATACAATATTGACTAAGTAATTAGTTATTAATTACTAAAGAACTTACCCAACACTGCCCAAGACCATACCTTCATGAGTATGATAAAATTATTTTGATGAGCAGCAGTTCAAGAAATTACTCGCTAGTGGCCTAATTGTACAGTTTAGCGCAGAGCGACCACACATGTTCCTCATTTATAGTCTTGTGGGTGTCAAATATCAACTGTGACGTTTCTTACATTCACTGGTGTCACATTACATGCAACATGACAGTTTCACTTTCTGAACAGCGTCAAAACAGGAAGGAATTACAACTACAGCAAGAAGAATACTGGGAACACTAAATCACAGAAAATACTGGTAAACTGTCGTTTCAACTTTATGCTGCTGATTCTATGTTTAAACCGTTTTAAAGAAGCCACAGCTGAAAGTGAAAGTAAGTTTCAAGATACTTCCTCTCTGGAAGGTTCACCATTTTTATTCCTGCCTCTCCTAGATAAAATGTCTTCTCAGTGTGAAAAGGATCTATCTTGTCCTGTCTGCCATGACATCTATAGAGAGCCGGTCATCCTATCGTGTAGCCACAGCTTCTGTCGAGACTGTCTGCAGACATGGTGGAGGGAAAATACGGCGCATACCTGTCCACTTTGCAAGAAAATATCTTTGCTGAATGATCCACCCTGTAACTTGGTGTTAAAGAACCTGTGTGAGGCCTTCCTACTAGAGAGAGATCAAAAAGCATCCGTGGCATTTGAGGTTCTCTGTACTCTTCACTCTGAGAAACTCAAACTTTTCTGTCAGGACCATCAGCAGCCAGTGTGTGTTGTCTGTAGAGATTCAAAAGCACACAAAAATCACAGATTCAACCCAATTGAAGAAGCTGCACAGGATTATAGAGAGGAGCTTAAGAAACACCTAAAGCCCTTACAAGACAAACTAAAGATCTTTGAACAAGTTAAAGCAAAATATGATCAAACAGCAGAACACATTACGGTCCAGGCCCAGCAGACAGAGAAGCAGATAAAGGAGCGGTTTAAGAAATTTCACCAGTTTTTACAAGTGGAAGAGGAGGCAAGAATCACTGCTCTCAGAGAAGAAGAAGAGATGAAGTTTAAGAAGATGAAAGAGAAGACTGAGTCTCTGAGCAGAGAAATAGCAGCTCTTTCAGAAACAATCAGAAACACAGAAGAGGTGCTGCATGCTGAAGATGTCTCATTCCTAGACAGCTACAAGGCTACAGCAGAAAGAGTCAAGCAATGCCTTCAGCTGGAGGAGCCAGAGCTGGGCTCTGGGGCTCTGGTAGATGTGCCAAAATATGTGGGCAACCTGACCTACAACATCTGGAATAAGATGAAGGAGATCGTTTCTTACACTCCTGTGATTCTGGATCCAAACTCTGCTCATCCAGAACTCATATTATCTGAGGATCTGACCAGTTTGAGACGTGGAATCAAACAGAGCCTTCCTAACAATCCAGAGAGGTTTGAATATCATCCAGTTGTTCTGGGCTCTGAGTGCTTTAACACAGGGATTCACAGCTGGGATGTTGAGGTCAGACAAGATGGATACTGGTGCTTAGGCGTGGTAAAGGCTTCTGTTTGGAAAAAGGGGCCTGTACCAACTGGATTCTGGGAAATATATCTCGATGATGGAAGATACATTGCAGCCTCTCCACCACATCTTCGCAAAACTCTTTCGGTGAAGAATCTCCAGAGAGTCAGAGTTCAGCTGGACTGTGACAGAGGGAAGCTCTCATTCTTTGATCTTGACACTAATGCACACATACACACCTTCAGAGAGACTTTCACTGAGAAGCTGTTTCCTTACATTGAAACAAATAACCTACAAATTAAGATATTACCATCAACTGTAAAAGTGGAAAAGAACATGACCCCTTTGTACAAAGGTTTTTGGTCTGGTTTCTAAACTAGCTAAACATGCTTAAGGTTAATCTTTCCAGGCTACTAAATTTACTCTCTTATGAGTTATAATTAAAAAAGAAGCTTTTATGTAGTTGCAGAATTGTTTCATTTTATTGCAAAACTGCAGATTTTCCTCACTAAAAAAGAAAATGTATTGGTTTAGCTGCAATGGTAGTTAATACCTGCTGAGAAATTCTGGGCTGGTATTTTGCTTTTTAAGTTCCAGTTTTAAGCAAGATGGCAACAATAGAATTACATTATTGTTCAGATAATGAATATTTGCTGCTGAGATTTTGAGTTTAACAGTATATTATAAAATATACTTGTTCATTCATGAATAAATTAATAAATGTGTAGATGTCAGTGTAAATAGCAATCTAAAATATTGTTAGTAGACCATAAATGACATTACTTAACCCAACAAACGCATAGTATGATTTTATTTTTAGAAAGTGTCTAAGTAAATTTTCTGAACTAGAAAAATTCAGTTTCCATTGAAAATAAATAGCCTGGGACTCCTTAGCTAACAGTTTTGTTTATTTATTTATTTATTTTCTTTATTTTTTATGTACTTATCATTTTAAAAGATAAATCTGCAAGTGATTTTTTAATTTTTGTTATTTTTCATTTAAAATAGAGTTTAAAAAGTGGAACTAGCTATAAGATTGTGTACAAGAAGTTGACATAATATGGAAAAAAGGAAATATGTAATATATCCTCCTGGGAACTGAGGAAAAATAATTTTCCTATTGAATTTTTTTGTGATTTCCTTCCTCTTTTGAACTAAAAGAGATCACCCGAATACATGAGACATCAATGGAAAGGGCAGATTTTGTCACGATCCTGGGTCTTTTGATCCAGCGTTTTGAGTTTTAGTTTATTTTTGATGTTTATGTTTAACTCCATTGGGTTTTCTAAGTTCATTTGTTTTTTTAGTTTCCCCTTGTGTTTTCAACCCCTGTATTAAGTCGCCCTTGTCCTTTATGCATTTCATATCTGCATGTCTTTTGTTGTCAAGTTCATGTTGTCATGTCTGCGTTTCATTACATTTCCTGTTTTATTTTGAAGAGGTCCTTTGTGCCTGTATTCTGTGTTTAGTTTTACTCTCCCCTTGTGACGTTGTTATGTTCATGTATGTGTATTCCCCATGTGTTCCACTTTGCTCATTATCCTCCTGTTTGTATTTAGTCTGTGTTTTCTCATTCAGTCTTGGCCAGGTTGTTTGTTGTGCTACTGTTCCATGTGCCATGCTCTATGTTCCAGGTAGCTTTGTATCCATGCCAAGTTTCATGTTTAGTTTTAGTTTTAGTTTTGCCAGTATAGGTTATTGTTTATTCTCATCTTTGTTTAATTCATGTATTACTTTGTATTTCTCTATCCACCATATTAAACGGCTCGTTTTTTGTTAATTCAAGTTTTGTCCCGCTTGCCTTGCTGTCTACATTTTGGGTCCTCTTCGTCAAATTTATACAGTGTGCTGCTGCACATTGTGACAGATTTCCTGTATCTGTCATGGTAACAGCAAATCTGAACAAGTCTGTTGGAGAAAGTGTTCCACAGCTTGTCCTGTAAATCCTGTAGATTAGCTTATCTCCTGTCCTGTAGATTAGCATGAAACCACCAAGTTACTCAGAGGCTGGAACATTTCTTTTTATTACTGTGATAACACATTAGTTAAAAATTAACTTCAGCCACAGGGTTCTATTAAGAAGTATTTTTTTTACCATGATTTTATGCTAATACAATGCATCCATTTATTCAATCATTCAAGAGGATTCAGTATTGTTGCATTTGTATAATATAAAAACACATGCATGGGGCATGTTAAATGAATATAGTCACTTTTCTCAGCAGACTTCCCTACAGTTGCAGAGTAATGATTGATAATGTTTGTAATATTAAAAAAATAAATAAATAAAAAGAATAAAATAAAATCCCACACCTAAATTATCTGTGCCTGGCAGAGGTGACTTGGGGTGTTGTTGTAAACCCCCAGTGGGTTTCAGCTGACTTTCATCATCACAGAACAAAGTAGAGGGAGACTGTGAAATCTAAAATATTGATATTGGTGCTGTTTTTGAAAGGCTGCCATGTGTCTCTAATTCAAGAGCTGCATGTTTACACACACACTTGACACATGTAAACAATCTGTGTGTGTTTACTTCCTTTATCTTCACCTTTCTCAATCCTGGTTATGTTGAAGGTTTGTCCCTGTTTTCTCACCACCGTTGCCAAGTGCTTGCTCATAGGGGACTGTTGAATCATGGGGGGTCTTGCTCTCATAGAGATATTAGACTTATTAAATGTCTTGAGATGACTCAAACAAAATTACTTAAATAGATAACAGCTTTCTTCTGTTTGAGCAGAAGCTTGTAAGCAGCGCTGGGCAAGTTACTTTGAAAAAGTAATTAATTATTGTTACTACCGTATTTTCACGACCATAAGGCGCACTTAAAAGTCTTAGATTTTCTTCAAAAAGTGCGGCGCGCCCTATGGCGCGGTGCGCCCTATGTGTTGTAAGGAGGACGTAGTAGAGAACACCATGAGAACGTTAAAGGGTGAAGTGTG